GGCCGCCGGGGGACATCCCCAGGCATATTGGAAGCATGGACTTCCAAGCACACCCCTCTCGCCTGAGAAAACATATCGGAGACGCCTACGGCGAATCACCGCCGCCCACTGCCTTTGGACTCGCCCATGTGGCCGAGCGTTGTGGCAAGAGCTCTGCCAAGCTATCGGGCCATGTGTGCCCCCAACCGTTGTGGAAACCCTTCGGGGAACACTTGGGGGAGGATGGCGGGGATGATCAGGAGGAGGAGCAGGAGGAGGAAAAGGAGGAGGAGGAGCAGGAGGAGGAGGAGAAGGAGGAGGAGGGGAAGAGGGCATCTTGGGAGCCTCTGGGTGCTTTTGAGGCCTCCTGGGAGCCTCTTGGAGGCATCTTGGGAGCCTCCTTGGGCCTCTTGGGGGCCTTATGGGGGCTCTCGGGAGCCTCTTGTACATTTTATGGCATTCCTGGCCCGTCTGACGCTGTCGGAAGCCGTCTTTGGGACCTTTCTGGGCCGACTTAAGGCCCTCTTGGGGTGCTTCAGGGCCGTCTCGGAGGCCATCTAGAGCGTCTTGGAGGCCTCTTGGGCCGTCTTGGGGCCCTCTTGGGGCCGTCTTGGAGGCCTTTGGGCCGGTCTGGGGCCATCTTGGAGGCCTCTTGGGCGATCTCTGGGGGCTCTTGGGCCGTCGGAAGGCCGAACAGAAACAGTTGCCAAATTTCTGCAACAACCAACATAGAAGCAATGATGTTGGCCTCGTCGGGCATTCCTGGATGCCCTCCTGGGTGCCCCTTGGGCCGTCTTGGCTATCTCTTGGGGCTCCTCCTTGGGCCGTCTTGGGCCATGTTCGAGGCATCTTGGGCCGTCTTGATGGCATCCTGGCCCGTCTGACGCCGTCGCAAGCCGTCTTGGGGGCCTCTTTGGGCCGACTTGGGGCCCTCTTCGGGTGCTCCAGAGCAATCTTGGAGGCCATCTTGGGCGTCTTGGAAGCCTCTTGGGCCGCCTTGGAGCTCCTTGGGGCCGTCTTGGGGGCCTCTCGGGTCGTTCTGGGGCCATCTTGGATGCCTCTTGGGCGATCTTGGGGCAATAGTTTGGGGGTTCTTGGGCCGTCTCAGGCCGTCGGAAGGCTGAAAAGAAGCAACTGCCACCATTTTGGTTAATCTAAGATTTGCCCAAGGCGCATTTTTAGAGTTTTCAGCTCGGCGTCGCGGAAATCATTTTGTAGCGTTTTCAAGTCTCAGCCTGGCGAAAGACCCAACTATATGCAGTTATGAGTAACGCGATCCTGAACATCTTCTTCGGGGGGGCTCCCTATGGGGCCACGAACCCTGTGAGTGGTGTGCCGAAACGGGTGCGGCCGACGCATGTGGACGGTGGCACTGGAGCCTACGGTGGAGCTTCCCATGGGGCCACGAAGCGTGTGAGGGAGGTGCCGACATGTGTGCGGGGGATGCATGTGGACGGTGGCAGTGGGGCCTTCGGTGAAGCTCCCAATGGGATCATGAAAGGTGTGAGGCGGGTGCCGAAATGGGCGTGGGGGACGCATGTGGACGGTGGCAACGGGGCTATCGGTGGAGCTCCCTATGAGGCCACGAAACGTGTGACGGGTGTGCCTACATTGGTGTGGGGGATGCATCTTGACGGTGGCAACGGGGCCTTCGGTGGAGCTCCCTATGGGGCCACGAAACGTGAGAGGTGTGTGCGACATGTGTGTGGGGGACGCATGTGGACGGTGGCAACGGGGCGTTCGGTGGAGCTCCCTATGGGGCCACGAAGCGAGAGGGGTGTGTCGAAATGGATGCGGCTGACGCATGTGGACGGTGGCACTGGGGTCTTCGGTGGAGCTCTCTATGGGGTCACGAAACGTGTAAGGGGTGCCGAAATTGGTGTGGGGGACGCATGTGGACGGTGGCACTGGGCCGTCGGTGGAGCTCCCTATGGGGTCAGAGAGGGGTGTGCCGAAATGATTGTGGGGGACGCATGTGGACGGTGGCACTGGGGCCTTCGGTGGAGCTCCTTATGGGGCCACGAAGTGTGTGAGGAGCGTGCCGAAATGGGTGTGGGGGACGCATGTGGACGGTGGCAACGGGGCGTTCGGTGGAGCTCCCTATAGGGCCACGAAGCGCTGTGCTGGGCGGGGGAGACAGAGGCAGGGATGGGAGGAGGAAGGGGGGGGGGACGAGGAGGCGAGGAACGCGGGGACTGTCTGTTCACAACGAAGACCCACCAACAAGTGGGTTGGACGAAACGGAACGCGCTAAAAACAAATATGCGTTGTTTCAGGGTTTCCTGACAATTTTTCACCGTGGATTGGGTGTTTCCTTCTCCTGGAGTTTTTCACTCATAGGCAGAAGGTGCGCCGCTCCGAAGTCGGCGAACCCACAGGCTTTCAGCCTCTGGAGCTGGAGGCTCTGGCCTTCTGGTGTCTCTGGAATGCCTGGAAATGCTCAATGTCCTGAAAAGGCTTGCCGTCCACAGGGTGTAGACCATTGAGCAGCCTCTTGAGGGCCATATACCTTGAGCCACTCTTTGGTGGCCCTTTGCACTCCCTATCGTATTCTTTACGCAGATAAGCTTCTCTGTGGCCGTCGCCGGTGACTCGTCGCGGAAACCCACCCTCTCCTGCCGCCCTCCCCGCCCTCGCCTGTTTCGCGCCGGTGTTAGACCGGTGCCAAAGCGTTTTTCTGTTTCAGTTGGGGCGTTGACTCGAGGAGCTCTAAATAATGCGGGATGACGATTAATAAACAAAATGGGGGGGAACGATTAAAAAGATAGCTTCCTGCTATTTCTGCACAAGTTTCTGACTGGAGGAAAACTATTTTTAAAAATAGTTTTCCAGCCCGCGGCCGGTTTTTTCTAATCGTCATCCCGGGCGCCGCCGCGTGAACACGACCCCCGGTCATTTATTAATCGTCATCCTCCATCAAGGAACGAGGCCCCTTTGTTCCATAAGTTAAACTTCGACTTCCCATCGAAAGCCGAAGGGACATCTAGTGCAAGCTGTGCAACAATCACGGAGCACGGAGCCCCTCCCCAACGAGAAGGGTTCCTTCTTCAGTGCCCCGACTGTATCTGTTTTGTCTGCTTTTTTCCCTACCTAGGCTCTGCCTAGAAGGGTTCTTCCTCTCTGGGCTTAAAAGGGCCAGGCAGTGGAAAGCGCCCCGGGCGGTTCCCCAGCATCCGCCCCGCGGTTCCCCCAGTTACGTCCCCTTAGCTTAGCGTTGCTTATCTCATCTTAGCTTAGCTTATCCCACCAGCCCTCTGGGCGTCGGTGGTTTAGAGCGTTTCTTCTTCCACCCCTCCTTCTTCCCCTTCGGGGAGGGGTTTACCCCTCCCCCCACCCCCTCCCCACTGACCTGGACAGGGGGGGCCGCGACGCGTTGGAGCGTCCAAGATGAGCCAAGACGACTCCAAGGGGGCCTCAGGGAGCCCAAGATCGCCTCCAAGATGGTTCAAGATAGCGCAAGATGCCTCAAGATGGTTCCGAAGATACTCCAAGACGCTCCAAGACCGCCCCAAGACGGCTCTAAGTGTCCACTAGAGCTCCCCTCGGATGCCCCCAAGAAGCCAAAAGGTTTCAAAACCCTAAGGGAAATCAATGTTTTTGGCGTTCTCGCGCTTTCGCTTCCGATGCCCACCCGAGGCGTCAAGATAGCTCCAAGATGGCTCAAGATAGCTCCAAGAAGGGCCCAAGAAAGCCCGAAGACGGCGCAAAGAGCGCCCAAGAGCGCTCCGAGAGCCCTCCAAGAGCGGTTCAGGAGGCGATTTTAGAGGCTTTCCAAGAGCGACGCTAATTAGTGCTTCCGCTTTCTTTGACAGATCCCCTCCAAGAGGCCGCAGGATGGCCCCAAGATGGCCCCAAGAGGCCCCTCAAGAGGCCCCCAGGAGGCCCCCAAGAGACCCCCAAGAGGCCCCAAGAGACCCCAGGAGGCCCCCAAAGGCCCCAAGATGGCCCCAAGAGGCCCCAAGAGGCCCCCAGGAGGCCCCAAAGAGGATCCCGAACGGCCCACAGAGGCCCCCCCGAGGCACCCAAGACGCCGAAAAGCCCCTCAGGACGACCCTCTACTCGCCTGGGCGTCGTTTCTGGACGGGCTGGTGGGGATACGCGAAGCGTCTAGAATTCAATCTTAGCTTAGCTTAGCTTCATCTTAGCTCAGGTTTATCTTAGCTTAGCTTACCTTCATCTTAGCTTCGCTGAGCTTTAGCATAGCAGAGCACAGCATAGCGTAGCATAGCGCAGCACAGCATATATAGCGTAGCCCAGCATAGCATAGCGCAGCATAGCATAGCATAGCATAGCACAGCACAGCGCAGCGCAGCACAGCACAGCATAGCACAGCGCAGCATAGCATAGCATATCATAGCATAGCGCAGTTTAGCATAGCATAGCATAGCATAGCTTGGCATAGCACAGCATGACATAGCATAGCTTAGCATAGCATAGCATAGCGCGGCATAGCAGAGCATTTCATAGCATAGCAAATCATAGCGCAGCATAGCATGGCATAGCATAGCATAGCAACTAGTGCTGCTTTCCTGGGGGCTCCAACTTCTAGGCAGGGTCGCACTGGGGTAATATAGGTCGCCGCGCGGGAACTGGTGTTCGCGCCCCCCCAGAGTACGCAGCTCATGGATCAAGGCGAGCAGTCGGACTGATCGGGCCGGAGGACTCGCTGGGCCTCCGGGGAGAGGGGGGGGGCAGAGAGGGCGAACGGGGGCAGGCCGGCGAGCGTGGGAGCCAAGCTGGCAGAGAAGGCAAGGCGGAGCCTTCGACGATGAGGCCAGAAAAAGCGCAACAAGACGCTGCACTACAGCGACGGACCTGACAACGCCCAAAATATGACCCTGAAAGCGCAAAACAGACGCAGCGTTTTTTTTCTTAAGCAGCCTGTCAAGAACCCGAACTAGAAAACGCAAACAAACACGCCCAGAGCGTTTTCAAGATGGACGAAAGCCGAAATCCTCAGAAAACCGTAGGGAAATCAATGAGTTTGGCCTCTTCAGGCCTTCCTGGATGCCCTCTGCCTTTTTCTGCGATATGCGCGGCATTGGCTCGGCACGGCCCGTACTTCGTTATCCTGATTACTGGCTGCGCGTTGGAACGAGCATGGGTATCCGTCTGAATACAGACGTAAGCACGCAGGCTGGAAGGGCATGGGGCATGGGGTCACAAAGGGCGCGGGCAGCGCTGCGCGGCATCCTAGACTGGCCGGCCCGTGCCCGAGAGAACAGACAAAGAGAACCCGGGCGGGAGAACCCGAACAACGAATACAGCTCCAAGTGTGAAAAACAGCAGCGTCCGGATCTCGAGGCTGGAGGACGGTCACACGCTCAGACGCCTCGCTTCCGGGCTGGTCCGGCGGCGTCCCGCGGCGCGCCGCGCGGCGCCCACACCGTGGGCGCTTCACTGCGCGCGCGGCATGCCCGCGGGGAGCGCCGCGGTGGACCTCGCCGGCGATGGGCTCGGGCCGCCGCCCACCAGCAGCGACACCGGTGGCGCCGGCAGCAGAGCGGAGGCCGCCAGTGGCGGGCAGCAGCGCAGCGGCGAGGTGGCTCGCCTGACCGGCGAGGCACCGCGTAGGGGCGACATCACGCGCCTCGGGGCGTGGATGATCTCCGCGCGGAGCACCGCGTGCGGGGCGGCAGCCACGGGCACGACCGCCGCCCACGAGGGCCGCCCGAGCCCTGGCAGCACGTCCTGGGGCGCGGCCGTGGCGGCGGGCGCCGCGTGCACGGGGCCGGCGGGCACCAGGCTCGCGGAGGCGCCGGGGCCGGGGGCGGCAGGGGGGCTGCGGGCCGCCGTCTCCTTCTTCGGCGAGTCGAACGGGGTCTCCCTTGCGCCAGCCTTCTTGGAGAAGTCGGCCTGGTGCAGCGTCTCTCTCACCTGGTCCACGAGCCCTGCGAGGCGCTCCTTCAAGGTGTCGGCGACCTTGGGCGGCTGCCTCGCGGTCGGCAGCTCGCTGCAGCTGCCCTGCGGGTCGCCGCCGCCCAGCGGCAGCGCCGCCTGCGCTGGGTCCTCCGCGGACGGCCGGGGCGCCGACGCCATGGAGCAGCTGCACGAGACGTCAAGCTCCTGGACCCAGGCGGCGGCGACCGCGGACGACGTGCCCGCCGACTCGGTCACGGACGAGGCGCCGCCGCGCCCGCCTCGGCAGTCCGCCGAGCCGGGCCTGGCGCCCCCCGCCAGGCCGCTCGGGCCCGCCCCGGCGGGCACGGTGGGCGCAGGGGCGGGCGGCGACACCTCCTGCTCATGCGCGGCCAGGAACGAGTCGTGTAGGTTGGCTACGGAGGACGTCCGGAGGATGCCCAGATCGCACGCGGGTTCCCCTACGGAAGCGATGGTGACGGTGCCCTCCTCCAGGATCGGGCGCGCGCCGTAGATGGCGGAGTGCTGCTGCGCGGTCTCCAGCACGCCGATCCTGTGGTCCAGCCTCGCCTCCTCCAGCTTCACGACGCGAGAGCTGAGGGCTCCCAGCTGCGACCTCCAGTCCGCCACGTCCTCGTGCAGCTCCACCTTCGACGAGCGGAGCTGCTCGTTGACCTCCCTCTGGATACCCTTCATCTTGCTGTCGATGAGGGCGGCCAGCTCCACGCGCAACTCCGCGTCCAGCTCCCCGACGCAGGCCGCCAGGGCCACGTGCTCGGAGCTGCCGAGGACTTCCGAGAGCGGCTGCGCGCGGGCGCCGCCGAGTGCCGCGGGCGGCGACTCGAGAATCTCGGCCAGGCGCCGCTCGGTGCGCTGCTGCGCCTCCTCGACGGCGCGGAGCGCGCGGCGCACCTCGGCGAGGGAGCCGCAGCGGTCGCTGCGCTCCTGCTCGAAGTCGCGCCCGAGGCGGTCGATGCCGAGCCGCGCCTCCTGCAGAGCCTCCTCCACCTGCTGCTGCGGGGGCGCGGCCGCGGAGCTCACCTCGCGCTGCAGCCGCGCCAGGCCGTCCTCGAGCAGCGCGAGCCGGTCGCGCAGGTCGCCGAATGCCAGCCTCTCCGCGCCAGGCCTGTCAACCACGCCCTCGTCCGCGGGCTCGGGGGGCGCCGCCGCCGGCCGCCAGGGCGATGCCGCCTCCTCCGCCGCGCCAGGGGGCGCGCAGTGCGCCGACTTGACCAGCGCGGCCTGCACGCTGCTGATGTCCCGCCTCAGGCTGGCGATCTGGCAGCGCTGCTCCTGCTGCATCGACAGGTCCCGCCGGATCTCCGTCAGAGAGGCCCTGTGCTCCCGGCGGTCGCCCTCGAGCCTGCGGAGGATGCGCGCCTCCTGCGCGTCCAGATCGCCCGTTTGCTGCTTGGCCAAGTCCCTCTTGAGCTCCAGGATGGCCGTCTGGCGCTCCTTGCGTTCGCTCTCCACGCGGCGCGCCATCCGCTCCTCTCGGGCCGGGCGAAAGGGGGGGGATAGCAAAGGGGGGGGTTGAGAATCAGCTCACGTAGCTGATCTTCTTGGCGCCTCCCGGCGCCGGGACGCGCCGGGAGGCGCCCATGTATCGAGGAATTGGCCCGGCGGCGGGGCCGAAACCAGCTGCGGGCAGCAGATTTCGTACCCCCCCCTTTCCCTATCCCCCCCTGTCGTTCGGCCCGCTCCTCGCGCGCCGCCAGATCTTTCCGCAGGTTCGCGAGCTGCTCGTAGGCTGCTTCCAGGCCCTGCGCGGGCGCCTCGGCGGTGGGCATCATCATGGCCTCGGCGGCGCTCCCGCTGGAGAGCACACTGGCGCACCGCTCCCCGCGCGTGTCCGGCGCGCGCGAGCGGGTACAGTCGGGGCGTTGACCTAAGGAACCCTAAACAAGGAACGAGGCCCCTTTTTTCCCAGAAGTTGCACTTCGATCTCCCATGGAAGACCTCACGTCAACCGAAGGCAAGCTGTAGAACAATCGAAGAACACCGAGCCCCTTCCCAACGGAAAGGGTCCCTTCTTCAGCGCCCCGACTGTACGAGTGGAGATCCCAGAGATCCGATGTCGTGATTTTTTCAATGCGGGATCCCCGGAAGTCTCGACCCATTCCCCAGGACCGGTTTTTCATCCTGACTCGTTTTTGGACGGTCCCGAGGCCCGGCGAGCGCCCCTAGGGGCCGAAATTTGCGAAAAACCTCCGTCTTGATTTTTTCAATACTTTGGATCTCTGGGTTCAGCGCCCCGACTGTACGAGTGGAGATTGACGGCACGGATGCGCGTGGCCGAGGCTGCCGCGGGAGCGCCCCCCCCCCGCCCCGCGCGGGCTGCGAGCGGAGAGGGCCCTTGAGCCAAAAGGGTCACGGAGGGCCTTCCCGGAGGCCCTCTTTGGAAGCCTCTTGGGCCGTCCTGGGGCTCTCTTGGAGGCCTCTTGGGCCATCTTCTCCTCCTCCTCCTCCTCCTCCTCCTCCTCCTCCTCCTCCTCCTCCTCCTCCTCCCCCTCCCCCTCCTCCTCCTCCTCCTCCTCCTCCTCCTCCTCCTCCTCCTCCTCCTCCTCCTCCCCCTCCTCCTCCTCCTCCTCTCTTGGAGACCTCTTGGGGGCTTCTTGGGCCGTCACCCAGGTCCGATGTGGAGCTGGTTCCGACCTCGTTTCCGTCGTCTGACTCGCGTGTCTCCCGAAGTCGAGAAGATGAATGATAGGTCCGGATCTGCCTCGGCCCCCGCCCCCCCCGCCCCTCCCACCGCCAGGAGGCCCCCTCCACCCCCGCCTCCGCCCCCGGCTGAACCGGAAGCCTTAGGGATGGGATCGAGTGTCTCTTTGGAAGTGTCGGAAGCCTTTGCCGGGGGATTCTTCGAGGGTTCAAATAATTCGGGAACGACAGTGCCCCGAGGTCTTGTTGTTCCACATGTTCGAGGGAGCTCCAATCATCGTCTTTCAAATCTCCGGAGGTCCATCCAAAACAATATTCTCTTCGTTTTGTTTTGCCGTCTCGAACTCTTCTCGCTCTTTCCCGATGCTCTCGAGGACTGGACTTCCGCATGTTGTTTGACGAGCGAGCCGTCCGTGCCCCTTTTTCCCACTGTTGTGGTCGTCTATGTTTTTTTCTCGAGCCTTTCCTTGTCGGCCTCTGCCTCGGATTCCGACTTCTCCTGAACGCGCTGCCCGCGTCGTTCGGTCGTTGGATCGATGCGGCTCTCGCGGCGGGGCTTGGCGCAGTGAGCATAGTTGTCCCCCATTACGGTTTGGCAGAACTGACAGATTCGAATGCTCCCCAAGGCGGCGGTGAATTGGAATTGTGGCTGTTTCTCCGATTTGAAATTGGTCGGGTTTCCCAGCGCGAGAGGCCGAGCCCCTGACGTTGACCCGCTCGACCCATCGTCCGCGGAGAAACGAGCGTCATTCCGCGTCGTGGCGACGGGCGGGGTCGGGGCGACGTCGTCTAGCATCGCGGGCCGTGCCCGGGACGTGGCCGAGCTCGCGAGCCCGCCTTGACCAGTGGAGCTCTGCGCTTCCCGGAAGAAAATCATATTGGTATGCGTCTCTTTTGTTTAGTGAGATCATGAGCGAGCATAGCCATTTCTTATTTCATCTTCCTCGCATGATTGGTGGCAGCGCGTTCCCGAAGATTCGCCTGCCTTGCGACTGCGAGCGCCTCCTCGTTCGTGTGTCTGGCCGAGGCAGTTGCCTGGGTCGCCCTTTCTCGTGTTGCGCCGTCCGCCGCTTGTTGCGAGTTCCTTGCCGCCATTTCCAACTTTTGCAGAAGGTGGCGCAGTTGCGTTTCCTCTTCAGCCATTGCCCCCGCAACGCTGTTTCCTGTCTTTTTCATGTTTTACTTCGGCAGATTCTTCCAACTCCTTCCTGCCCCAGTCGGCTCCCGTCGGGGAAGGCTGACCCGCGTCCGACGCGGCCCCCTGGCCCAGGTGGGCCCGCTGTGTGGCCTGAAGGAGATTTTTTTTTCGGCGTGCGTTTGCCAAAATTGCTCGTCCCTTCGTCGTTCAACCATCTGGAAATGTGCAGTCAATTGTCCATGGGGCTCCCTGTGTGTGGCTGCAGTTCTGCCTGCCTCTTTTCGTTTCCACTCGAGCATGATGAGATAGCGACAGTTGTGCTCTTTCATGTCAATGTTTTTTCGAACGACGCCAATTGAGTTTACTACTGTGGCGCGCGTGCGAGCAGCTTCCACGCGGGGGGCGTTGGCGCGGGCCGTCGGTGCTCGCAGCTTTCCCTCGGCATCGATTTTCGGCCGAGGAGAAACAGCGGGGCCCTCGGGCCCAACGACGTGCTGTCATTGAAAGGCATCCCGATGAGGATCCCCAAGGACCCTGGCTGTTCTTCGACCGCGCGCGCATCCTGAGAACCCAAGGCGACCGAGAAATCTTCCGCCTTATGTTCGCGTGGGGAAAGCATCTCGACAGGGGTTGCCCCTTCGGTGTCTTGCGTGGCGAGACAACGCTGACCGCCGAGCAGACTTCCAGCTAAGCTGGCAATCTGCATGGGCGAATCGTGCTCCGTGCGTACATCGTCAGGTACATTGGGGCGCTTCGCCGCAGGTGTCTCCTCTGTGCTGTCTCTCGTTTTTTTTTTTTTGTTGTTTGTTATTTTTTTTTTTTCTCTCTCTCTCTCTCTTTCTGCGATGGGCCTATCGAGAGCTTGTTTCTGATCGATGAAATGTCATAATGAATGCCACCATCTTCCATGGTGGCAGAGAGGTCGCGACCCAACTTATCATGCCCATCCACTGGTCGAACCAATGTCGAGGCACTCTCTTCTCTTGAGGCGAAAAGGGTGGTCAATCAAAGGTGCGGCAGGAACGCCTGCGATAATATGGCCTCATGCGTCATTCGTCGAATGACTTGAGTGGTCCTTCATAATCTCAAAACGCGTAGATAATTGGGATCACTATCCATCGTGATTTCCCAGTCATGTGCAACAACTTAACTTTTGTGGATGATAACCAATCATTGACAAGAGATTCGCGGTTTCTGGCGAAACTTGGGTATGTTGATGATGGTGATGACGCGGTCTCATCGCTCAGAACAAATACCTCTGACATGCCTTCAACAATCCGTTAGGCTGTATATCACTGGATACAAGAGAACAAGAAAGAGGAGGAGGGACGACGACGACGAATCGTCTCCCTTTCAGCGCGCTCGGCGGCGGACCCGCGGTTCCCGCTCCTTGATCTCTTTGGCAAGCAGCTGCGGCGGGCGGCGGCAGGGAACGAGCAGGAGGAGAGGTTAAACAACTAAAGCGGCTTTCGCCAAAATGGCTACGGAGGTTCTTGTGGAGCTTTTTTGGGCCATCTTTCAACCACCTTGGGCGCGTTTGGACGCTCTCGGGCAGTTTGGGCGGCTTCTCCCCGTATTCGTGGGCCATCGTGACAATCTTGGGGGGCCTACAGCGCCCTCCGCAGTCCAGAAACGGGCCCGCGGTCCTCCAGGGTCCAAATGAATTGCCCAGGGGGGGGGGTCCGGGAGGGTGTCTGGGCTCAGGGCCCGGACCCCTGGTGCCTCGGCATTTGAAATATTCGCCAACAATGCGCGGCGCTACGGCGAGAACGTCGTCCAAAAAACGATTCGCTCTCCATCCGTGTAGCTGGTGGAGATTTGTCAGGAGAGTGTGCGGGGCACCAAGACGTGAGTCACATTGTAAGAACCATTCGCCCTGCACTCGTGTGGTTGCAGTGAAATTATGGAGCGAACGTTGCGCGGCGTTTTGGGGAAAACACCGTGCTGAAAATCACCCGCCTGTTATCCGTACAGACTGAAATTCCAATATCCAAAGTCGTAAGACAGCGAAGCGCCTTGCTCCGCCCCGCCGACACGTCTGGTGGTGCGACGAAGAAAAACTACACAATTCCAGCATATTGATACGTCGGGGAAGTTGATGAGGTATGGAAGTGTTCCCCTCGTCATCCTCCGTCCCTCCTCCAGCTCTTCTTGCTGATGTGGCTGATGGGCTCCCTCCGACTTAACGGCTTCAAAGCGCCTTCCTTCTCATTCTGCTGCTCCTCCTCCTCCTCCTCCTTGATCGACTCATTTTCCTTCCTCACCTGTTCACAGCTCCCCCACCTCCTCCCCCACCCATTTCCTTATCATCCTCATCTCATCTTCATACTCGTCGTCGTTCTCATTTCCTACTACTGACCCCATTCCCATTGTACAGCTCCCACCGTTTCCACTTCTCTTCATGCTTCTCCTACCCATACTTTATTTTCTCATGACATATATCATAATTTTAGTTTTCCCCTATCCTGCTTATCTTCCTCCTCGTCCTACGTTTCCTTATGCTTGTGCTCCTCGTCCTCCTCATCATTTTTCATCTCCTCCTCCCCATCGAACTCGTGCTCCTGCTACCATTGCTCCTCCTCCAATTCCACCCTCCTCGCTCTTCTCCTCCGCATCCTCTTCAACTCCTACTGCAAATCCTCGTCGTCATCCGCCTCCACCTTTCGTATCATCCTCTTCTTCACGCTGCTGCTCATCCTCTCCTTTCGCTTCTCGTGCTGTTTCTCATGTGCTATTCCTTTTCCTCTTGCCTATCATTTACCCTTCCTCCCTCCCTCCCTTTCGTCTTCCTTTTCTTTCTCTTCCCGCATGTCCTCCTGCGATTGCTGCTCGTGTTGCTGGAAGAGGGGCGGTCCCTACTCACAAAGCTCTCGCGCCAGGCCAGGAAGAGATGGAAAGGCAAGTCCGCGGCGTGCCCCGACCGAGGCTTCTGCATTCCAACAACAAAACCCACATGTTTTAACATGGACGAGCCTCGGCCGAGGCTGGTGCGTAATCCCAGCCAGACGGCTGCGACGGTATTCCAAGTGCACATCCGGACTTGGCTTGAAGAGCTTGGCTCCTCTACTTGCCTGCTCAGCTGTCGCGGGATGTGCGTGAAGCCTGAGGGCATGGCGTGTGGCACTTCAGGGAGTGGCATGTGCTGGAACCGAACAGCTGCCCTCTTCTCCAAGGCCGTGGGTGACTGTCGGCTTGCTGAGCAGGATGCGCCATACGCAGACGATGAGAAGCCCAATGGCACCCGAACTCAGCCGCAGCAAGCGCTCCTGGCCGGGCCGAGAACCCTCCAGAGGGGACCCCTGTCCGCGGGCGGCACGCCTTCAGAAACGAGCGATCTCTGACGGCAGCTGCTCCGTGGGCTGGCCGAGGAGACCAGCGGGAAGGGGAGCGGGAGACGTTCAGGAATGAGAGTGGGGGCGGCGAGGACGAACTTGTGCGCCCGGCGGACCCCATAGCCGTGTCCCATAACAAGCGGCCGCTGAGGAAATTCCGGTACGGCATGTCCTGATCGAGCGGTTATTCGCGTCCGGGGCACCTCTCCCTTGCACCTCCCCTCCCTCTTCCCTCCTCAGCGTCCTCCCCTACTTCTACCTTCCTCCG